GAATCTCACTATAAAAGATAAGGTGTCGGCGCAGATTTCAAACGTTTCAAATCCGTTTATTTTTTAGGGCTATAAAAGGAGAAGAGGGGGGCTCTTCTCAAACATCCAGAGTTTTCCTGAGTTTACAGTTCTCTCTCTGCTCTCTTCTTTACAGTTCTCTCTCTGCTCTCTTCTATACAGTTCTCTCTCTGCTCTCTTCTCTACAGTCCCCTCTCTGCTGTATATCAAGTAGTGCTTGAAGCTATCTAGTTTCTTTACTAGTGTAAGAACTTAAATGTGCGACTGCTTTTGGAAGGAAGTCCTTGACTATATCCTTGAGCAGCTAAAGTTATTTACCAGCTTCTGTATCTGTAAAACGTGAGTTTACTTTACTTATTAAGTTTGATCTGTATTCATGTTTATGATCATGTTTACTGTGTGTTCCGTTGTTATTAAAATATTCTGCTAAATTTTCCGCTAAATTTTCCGCTAAATGGTAAATGTGAGTTTACTTTACTTATTAAGTTTGATCTGTATTCATGTTTATGATCATGTTTACTGTGTGTTCCGCTGTTATTAAAATATTCTGCTAAATATTCCGCTAAATGGTCTCAGAGCCCTTCAATACAGTTTTCTCTTTTAAGTTGTAAGCTCGTCTCAGGGGGATGGATGGACTCAATTGTTTCTCCTTTGGTGGTCTAAAAGGTTTGAAAATATTTTTCAACCATATTTACTTCAAAGTTTGGAATTTTTATTCCATAATCTTTTGATATATATTTTAGCCATCTGAAAAATTTGATAGTTGCCTTATGTTTTATCATGAAACAATTAAATTTTAAATGGAAGGCATCCCTAAGAGGTTCTTTAAATATATGTGTTTTATTTTATACCCTTTTCAAAATATCCTGGAAACTATAATCTTCTTTTCTTGGGACAAGAGAAGACTTACGTTTTCTAGATGGGGTTTTGGACATATTGATGTACTGGATAAGGGCTTCTTTTTTAGCTTCTGGGTCAGATACATTTAGCGGAATATTTAGCAGAATATTTTAATAATAACGGAACACATAGTAAACATGATCATAAACATGAATACAAATCAAACTTAATAAGTAAAATAAACTCACATTTCACAGATACAGAAGCTGGTAAATAACTTCAGCTGCTCAGGGATATAGTCAGGGACTTCCTTCCAAAAGCAGTCGCACATGTAAGTTCTTACACTAGTAAAGAAACCAAATAGCTTCAAGCACTACTAGATATACAACAGAGAGGGGACTGTAGAGAAGAGAGCAGAGAGAGAACTGTATAGAAGAGAGCAGAGAGAGAACTGTAAAGAAGAGAGCAGAGAGAGATCTGTAAACTCAGGAAAACTCTGAATGTTTGAGAAGAGCCCCCCTCTTCTCCTTTTATAACCCTAAAAAATAAATGGATTTGAAACGTTTGAAATCTGCACCGACACCTTATCTTTTATAGTGAGATTCCGTTGGTCAATGGCTATAGAAGCTGTCGGCTAGTGGCTACAATGAGATTCTGTCAGCTAGTGGCTACAGTGAGATTCCGTTGGCTAGTGGCTACAATGGCTGTTGGTGAGTGGCTACAGTGATAGTTACTTTGTCGATATTTTGATCAATTTATTTTTTATTGATATTTTTTTATATATTTTTATTAGATGAGACTCAATAATATGTACATACTCTCTGAATTTCAGATCATTCCGATTTGTAGAAAAAAAATGAAAAATAAAACACTACCGGACAATCGTGTCCGTGCGATGAAATTTAGACGGCGATGAGGGTAGGCGAAATCACTATTCATTTTCGCCTATAAGTGTTGGAAAGACTTTTCCATATATATATATATATATATATATATATATATGGACGAATAGTATTTACTATAGACGTAACCGTTACGTTAGTAAGTTAATATAGTATTACTAAACCTAAAACCTTAAAAAACCCTAAACTTAACGT